ACTGCATCGGAGATCTGAGGCTTTGACCACCCAGATTTGACGGAACTCCTCTTGTTACATCCCCTAAGAAACTTTTTAAACAATGACAAGCTCTGTCCCCTTTTGCAACGTGTTCTATAGATTCAGAATTATAATAAGGTGGTGCATGCGTACATGACTGGGAAACTGTGGCAGGGAGCATCACACGGTTGTGAAGAAGAGCATAAGTGCTGCCTTGCTAAATAAGGCCATAGATTAGGATCGGAAACAGGAAGCCCTTTGGCTCAGGCTTTCAGAAGGAAGCATTCAATCCAGATGAAAGGGAGTTGTAAAAGATGTGACAGGAGTAACCGGATTTGCTGTCAGGCAGCTTTGAAGGGCTGGGCTGTGTAGCATTATCTCATCGCTCCTCAAACCCTTTTCAGAAGGACTCCCCAGGAAAAGCAGTTTTTGGCCAGGTCCATAGGCCAATCTAATTCAAGATTCTGTCTTTCGCAGCAGCCAGGGCTGACCTACCCATGGGGCAAGGTGAGGCGACCATCTCCAGTGTCCACAGGAACAGAAGATCCAGCTTCCAAGGAATGCATTGCCCACTGCTGCCACTGCAACGACTGCGGCACACTCCTTGGAGGCCAGATCTGCCATTTTCTTGGGCAGCCTTTTCCATGCCACTTCTACAGTGGCCTCTTGGTGAATAGTAGGAGCTGCTGCTCTCTTCCCACCCTTGTTCCCAATGCAGAACTTTATTCTCCACCCCCCACCTTGTTACGTGATATAGATCTCCACTCCTTCCATGGCAGAGAGTGGGGTGCCATTTTGTGGTTCACCTCAGGTGCCAAAATGTCTTGGTCTGGCCCTGGCAATGGCCACTCCATGCACCTGAGAAACCCACAACTAGGGCAGGGTACAGCTGGTCATCCCCAGTTGTGGTGAGCATCACCAATGTCTGGTAAACAGATGAATGTGAGGTTTGCATTCTTAGCTATAATAACTAATATATACTGCTATGTGTGCAAACTATGGTAGGCTAGCTGGAACTTTCTAAGGTGGTTTTAATAGTTGTTGTCAGGTGACAACTTCTGCTACTACCTATGTTCGTCTGTGGTAAGGGGCTTCTAGGCAAAGCAATAACTTGCAGCTAGTCATTCTGATCCAATTTTTCTGTTTGTGCTATTGTCATATGAGGTTCAACATAGGCACAGCTTAAGTCCTATGCTTTCCACAGCTATACAGCAGTTTCCCATTTACACCAATGGGCCGTCCTTGAGGGGAATGTTCCCATGCTCTGTGGTCCGACTCCCCACCTCAGTAACTACTCCCTTGTCATTCACTTACCTTTTCCTGTTCTGGACATGCGCACAAGTATTTCTTCTCCTTAGGGAAAAGTGGCACCCTCTCCCCAAATACAGTGCCAATATTTAAATTGATTAAATAACTGACATTTTGCTGCTATTTCTCAAAATTTGATGTTTGAGGTATTCCTTTTCCTCTGCTGACTTTTTAGGGTCAGCACTTGGCATAGTAGAATCATAGAATTGTAGAGTTGGACAGGACCGTGAGAGTCATCTAGTCCAACCCTCTGCAATGCAGGAATCTTTTTGCCCAACGTGGGGCTCGAACCCACAACCTTAAGATGAAGAGCCTCATGCTCTACTGACTAAGCTACCCCAACAGCTGCTTCTGAAAGCTGAGAAGTCCTCATGTATATTTGTCCTCCTGGGCATATATTTGTGTGCAGACACACACACACACACACACACACACACACACACACACACTCCTCATTGCCTCTTCCCAAAAACCTTTGCATTTGATGATAGGCATTTCCCCTCAGGCTGCCACTAACAAATACACCTATTCTGCTGCTCGGGCTAAGGGATTTGCACAGAAAGCCCAGCCTCTACGCTCATGAGAAGAATTAGACCTCACCCAGTCTGCAGGGAAGGTCACAGGAAGTGAAGCATGCGGCTCCTTTGTGTCCCTTTTGTAATTCTTTGTCACAATGAACTGCCCCTGGCTGCCCACCCAAGTTAAAGTGCATAGGCCTTGGTGACAGGAGCGGTCTGTCATTATTAGCCCCCACCTCTTTGGCACGAGTGCTTCACTCTTTCGCTACTGAGTTCACTTGTCATCATTCTGCCTGTCACCATCCCAAACTGCACAGAATGGTGGCAGGCCCAAGTCTTTAAATGTGAGTCTCGAGGAAGTGAAGGTTACAGCTGAAATATCCCAGTTTGTTTCTATCTCCATTTAATTTAATCCCCCTTCCGCAGCCCCGAATGTAGGTGGTCCTGCTCTCAACCAATGGGGTCACAAGCTTGTGACTCTCTCATCCACAGGACCCCTAAGCACCAAGCTGTCTCAGGCAGGCTATTTACCAGCTCTGCCATCCCACGGATATAATGAACCGTTCACACACTCGAACCCTTAAACTTGGCAAATTACAACCCTGTTTTGCCCAGCCTCTTAAGACTGGGCACCTGCAGAACTTTTTGCTGAACTGGCTACAGTGCTTTGCTGGCTGGTTTGCCAGTTCACCTTGGATTGTCAGTCTAACTGTGTAAAAGTTCAAGTGCAGTGAAAGTAAAATTATATAAATGCATTCAGCATTCAAGGGTTGAAGGAGATATATGGTAAGCAAGCATATTGGCGGTACCGGCTCTTTCGCTATTTCAGTTCAGCATTCCCAAATCCAAACTAGCTCTTTACCTTACAGTTTCTTTTAATTGTCATTTGGTTTCATGCAGCCCCAGATGTTTATTTTCCAGCTATCCCAGCATACATTCAGACTAGGGAACCCGCTTTTTAGGGATGGGTCTGATTCCCCATCCAATGCATGTTACAGATGCTTGGAACAAAGGGTTTCTAGCTGTATTCAGTTGCCCATTACTATGCATTGTTTCCCATCAACAAACAGGCTGCAGTCAAGGCTAAGGAGAGGGAGAATGGCATTTGTCCACTTTGCATAACAGTCGCTTGGCGTCAAACAATCCTCTTGCCCAGCAGTCCTCTTGCAGAGAGCATTCTTTCATGTCAAATCAATGTGCTTACTAGAAAGCATGCCAGGTGTTCTTTCATATAATATACAGCCATTTGGTTTCATGTCCCAGATGTATTTTAGCACTAAACCAATTTTATCCTGGCATTTTCTCATGAGAATATCTCCTATTGTGGAACTAGAGGGCGACTGATTGATGAAATGTGGGATAAAAGAAATTAAGGTTTGTATCAAATTAAGAGAGGGCAGCTGCTGAAATGGAAACATGGAAATAAGAGTATTATACTTAATTTAGCTAAAATCCATGCAAGTGTGTGTGTGTGTGTGTGTGTGTGTGGAGCAGGGGACAAACTGTATAACTTTGTTTCATAGTTTTATGCTATCATCTGCAAACCTTAAAAGTGGCACCCAGTTAATGAATGATTTATATTGATAATTATGGAGATCTTAATATTGCTTTTAGTGCCTTTTTCACTGTTCAGAGTACAGGCTGCTAATGTTCAGTATTTCCTTTCTTTGGCTCTTGGCATTTAAATCATCCTAACCTTATGTCTTAACTCAGCATCCTGGGGAGTTGCTTGCACTTAAACAGAATATGCTACGAAACTACATAGCCCAGGAAAACCTGATTTTCTCCCCCGCTGCCTGTATCTGAAGCAGAGTCCCCATTGCCACTTGCACTAACAGTTCTCCAGGAGCGTCTCAGGGCAAGGTAATGTCCAGGACTCAGTCATGGTGTATTTGCTTAGCGACACTTGGTTAAATATTTATCCCCTGCGCTGTTCCTCCCCCCTCCCGCAACTCAGAAGCACATTAGTTGTTAAATGCCCCTCCTCGGGACGGCATGTGGCTCCCGGACCCTGACAGCTCAAGCTATCATTTGTACCTGTGAATTATTGATAAGCTATCAGACAACCCAGGTTTTGGAAGAGACAGACTGCTTGGATGGTAAAGGTGCTGGGCTGCCCCTCTGCTGTCTGTGGGGGGGGGCGGGGGGGGGGGAAAGAGTGGTCCAAGGGAAGATTTCCTCTCACTGGTGCTCAGCTGCAACAAAAGCTATTGTAACGCAGTATCCCTGTGTTTGGATCAGGTGTCTCACTTGAGTGTGGTGTCATAATACAGGGCTTGGTCAGAATAAGCACTTCCATAGGATAGAACCAACATGGTGTGGTGATTAGTGTGCCAGGCTAGGAGTGGGCAGGCCTGGGTTCAGATCTCCTGTCTGCAGTAGCTAAGGGTCAACACCTTGCCTTCTGGAGATGTGTTGGTGGGCGGAGTTCATTATTAGTAAAAGCCATTTCCTAGCAGAAGGCTGTGTCTGGTTTGTGGTCTGTCTCTTCTTTGTAAATTAGGCCCAGTTTGAAATGATGACTTTGGACGTTTGTCACCTCTAACCTACCCCACAGGGCTGTTGTGTGGATAAAACCCTCAACTCCTGGTAAAAAAATTGAAAAATGGAATAGTAGGTCTTTGCATGTCAGTTCAGGAATTCACAAAGCTTGGAATACGTAGATCTACTTGCTGTTTCTCAATAATAATAATAATAATAATAATAATAATAATAATAATAATTTATTTGTACCCCGCCCATCTGGCTGGGTTTCCCCAGCCACTCTGGGCGGCTTCCACAAAGACCAAAAATACACTAAGATGTCATACATTAAAAACTTCCCTAAACATGGATGATACTAGGTGTCTGGTTTGAACTCTGGGCAGTCCATCCCCTACACACACACACACACACATGGGTATATTGGCCAGCCACTGGCCTTGAAGAAGGCACAGATCCAGGCACAGATCCAGCAGGCATTCCAATCATCCATGTTTGGGTTGGCCCACATTTGGCTCAGAATCCAAGGGAAAGCCAGCAACTAGTGGAAATGCTTTTTCCCTAGTCTGAAGGAGCAATTCCTCAGGGAATCTGCTAATGTGCTGCTTTTGTACATATATAATCATAGAATTGTAAAGTTGGAAGGCACCACAAAGGTCATCTAGTCCAACCCCCTGCAATGCAGGAATCTTTTGCCCAACTTGGGGCTTGAACCCACAACCCTGAGATTAAGAGTTTCATGCTCCATTGACTGAGCTACCTTCTCTACACCAATGTATGTGCTTCTGGAAGAGGTAAACTCTACTAGTTCCTGTAATATGACTCTGGAGACTGCACAACTCAGAAAGCAGCCCTGGATGAATTATTACAATGACCTTACAATTACAGCGACTATTACAATGTAATTAAATCCTTTCCCCCCACCCCCAAGTGGTAGGGAGCACCACACAGATGAAAATAAGTCCCAGGCTGCAAGTGCAAAGATACCTTCACAGGCTCTGCCTCCAGTGTATCAATATCAAGCCCATTGTGGACTTGTGCTAGCTGAAAGCCTGTCATTCCTTGTTCCCTTTCTGAAAACTTCCCAAGGGCAGTCCAAAAGCCTGCAGCTGGTGTGCAGAATCTTTGGCCCTCCAGCTGTTGCTGAACTGCAACTCTCATCATCCCTGACCATTGGCTATGCTTGCTGGGGCTGATGGGAGTTGTGGTTTAGCCACAGCTGGAGGACCAAAGGTCCCCCACGCCTGGCCTATGGATTATTATCAGCCACCAGAGGTAGAGCCTATAGTTTCCAAGTTCCTACCACCAATGTGAGGCCCCTGAATTGCTGAGTTATTAACTTCCGGGTGAGTACCAGGATGGCATTGGGGCGTTTGTTTCATTTCTGATACATTTTGGATAGAGGGAAAGGAGTTGGACCTGTCCTCAGTGCACACTCATGTGCTGACCATGTTTCCAGCAGGCTGTGCTCAAAATCTCACAGCTCTGCTCTGTACATAACCATGAATTCCAGAATCTAAACTAGCCTTTGTGGTTCTTGAAATGTGTGTAAATGTTATGGTTGTTTAAAAATGCAGTAGATGGTAAATATTTAAACGTGAAGTGTCCCTGGTTCCCCAAAGTGTGTAGAAACTGGTAGCTGAAAGCAGTTCTGCCTCCCTAAACTCAGCAATATGTAGATAAGCAAAGGAGACATGTGTGTTCTGGAGGCAGCGGGAGAATTGAGGTTGGCCCTGAAGACAGGCCTCATTAGAATATTATTTTCTAAGTGACAATATATATGCATGTCTGAAATGGGATGTGAGCATTGGGGGAAAGGTATTGTGTGCCGTGTTTTCACTGCAGGGTATTGTAGCAGCTTCGTGAAATGCCTACCAGAATATTTTGATCATTCTTCCACGATCAGTTATGGTCAGCAAACTTTTTCAGCAGGGGGCCGGTCCACTGTCCCTCAGACCTTGGGGGGGGGGGGTGGACTATATTTTTGGGGGGAGGGGAAGAATGAATTCCTATGCCCCACAAATAACCCAATTTGCATTTTAAATAAAAGCACACATTCTACTCATGTAAAAACACGCTGATTCCCAGACTGTCAGCGGGCCGGATTTAGAAGGCGATTGGGCCAGATCCGGCCCAATTCGGCCTTAGTTTGCCTACCCATGAGTTATGCTATATAGAGTTACATGATGGTAATTGGAGGTAGGATGGTATACTCCAGCTTTGTGGAAAAAAATAACCTTGCTTATGTATATCATCTGGACAAAGGCATGAAAGTAAAAAAGTAATAATTTATTATTGCTTTTTTCAAATCAAATATCTTTAATACGGTCAATGACCAGCAAGTTTATTATTGCTTTGTTAATTGCCTTCTATGCAATCATCTCAAGGCGATGTACAGTAGTAAAAAAGACATGACCCAGCCACCTTCAAATGTCACACAATGGAACTCAGTGGCACAACCTTATGACCCTGGGAGGGCATCCCAGGAGTCATAGACTGGATATCCTCTCTGGCAGGGCTCTGAAGTGAGATCTGGTGTCAGATCCCCCATCCCTGATGCCACTGAAGCCATGTCCTAACTGATGTTGGTGTTTTCATGGTTCGACTTTGATGTGACTGGAGCCAACTTGCTACTTTGGATAAGCAAGATGCAAGTCTAAATGGAGGTGCCTATTCTGAATTGGTTTGGATGTGTTTGTCTTCATCGCTAAGTACAGTACTAATATTGCTGTGCTTTTGTGAATGTATCTGCATGGTCAGAAGTTTGAGGATTTTAGTCCCTGTTGCCTGTACAACCTGGGAAGGGGAGCTGCGTTTGCTCTTTCCCCGCCATCTGAGCCACCCTTGGACCATCCTCATGGATAGTATTGGCCTTCCTCCATTCCTGCCCTTTTGGTCTATTGCAGATATCATATGACCCTTACGGAGAAAGACCATGTCATACACACCGTTCCGTACGATACTCGGGGCACCACTGATAAATGTATAAAGGTAGTTATAGTTAACGACTGTGACAATTGCTCCCTGGGGCTATTCCACCACTCGCTTCTGCTTTGCTGTGCTGGAGCAAAGGTGACTGCAGGCTTTGACTACATGCAATGCCGTTGAATTTAATGGTGCATTTCCTATTAAAAATCTTATACAGGAGATTGGCCTGGATAGCCATTAATTGCAGTGTGTGGTGGGGTGAGGGGGCAGCTGGAGCCCAGAGCAAACTGCAATCTCTGGCAGCAAAAAGAAGGAAAACTGTGAGAGATTGATTGCAGCACAAAGGCCAGAGAGCCTAATTCTTTCCTCGTCCCCATCCGCCATCACCCCCCCCCCTTTTCTTCAGTCTCACTCTGCCTCAAATCTGGCAGGCAGCACAGGGCAAGACTATTCCAATATTGACTTTGAAGTGTGAATTTCAAACCCTCGTGGCCTTTTTATTATCTCGCCTGGGCCTGACAAGGAGAGCGAAGAAGTGCCGAGAGATGAAACAGCTTAGCTTTTCAAAGGCTGCCACTTCCAGGTTCACTTCCACAGCCCTATCACTTTGCAGGCAATTACACTGCATTCTTTCTCAGCACTGATTCTCTGCTCCCTGCTGAAAAGCCAGGCTAGAAGGGTAATAAGGAGGCGGTACCTCTCCTACCTCCCAGTCCCCCACCAACCTCACTGATGCTTCTGCCTTGCTTCCCTCAGTGCAGCTTTCTGCTAGAAAACTTTGGAACTAGAGTGGTCAAAAGCATCGCCACATGTGCATATATTGCCTGTTTGCATGTCTGAACTATGAGGCGAGTGATAACCCAAGAGGTCCTTTTGTGTACCAGACAACAGTAAACCTGCAGTGGTTTCATGTGGCACCTCTGTCTTGCTAGGCTAAAAGACAACCGCCTGTGCTCTCTGAGGTGCACTCACAGCTCATTCCTTGCTGTGCCTCAGAGAATAGTCATGCAGTGCTTGAGGCCAGGAATCAAACTCCAAGCAGTTCACTGTGTTTGCTTAGCTCACTGGGCTGTGTCAGGGCTACAACACTCTGTGTGTGTGTGTGTGTGTGTGTGTGTGTGTGTGTAATGTGGTAGTGTTTCGAGCTGATCACTTTCTGTCCCTTGATGAATCTCCAACCCTAATAAATGGCTGCAAGAAGGCAGATGGGGCCCTGCTTCCTGTCTGAAAAGAGAGATGTATGAAGATTGCTCACCCAGCCAAAAAGACACGCTTTCCTTGCCGCAGTGTCAGTGGACAAGGGGCTAGTTTGCTGAGCCTGCCGTATCTAACGCAGTGTCAGAAATGCCTTGAGATCCTTGCAATATTTAATTAGCATACAGCTCTCTGAGCGCCAGGCAGGAAATGTGTTTGCTAATTAGACATTGTTGATTTCATACCCAGGAACATAATGAATGCCTGGCGGGTGCCCAAAGCAGAATCCCTTCCTCATTTCTATGCATGTATTCCACTTCCTACCAGCTGGGTCTTGCATGTCTGTGGGGCTGGTGTGCATTCACACTGGGCACCTTATAGTAGCATCTTATGGTGATGCGAGAACACCAAGTATTCCTAGGTCGTGACGTGGAACTTCCCTTCTTCTCACCCAAAGTGGACACTAAGAAATGAACTTTTAATGAGAGAGAATTAAAGTGGCAAAAGTGTACAATACATGCACATCAATATTTAAAGGAGTTAAAATAAATGAGAAATTTTGCCTATGAATCAGGGCATCTCTCCAGTTACAGCATCACTTGTTCTGTGAAGGAGTGAGTGATCTATAAAGAGAACTCAACTAAAACTACAATTTCCAGAGTTCCTTTGATAAAATGATAACTTACACCAGTTTGGTTGACGAAGAGGTGTGTGTGTGTCCTTAGTCTTTTTGTTTTCACAGTGCACACCCACACACATTTTCACAACTTATGTGCACTGGCTGTAGGGTGCTGGAATCATGAACCTATAGTCCTCCAGATATAGTTGCACCATAATCCCTGAACCCTGGTCATGCTGGCTGGGGCTGATGGGAGTTGGGAATTCCACAGCTACTGAATGCCCACAGAATGGCCTATCCCTGATCTGAGGCCTGTTTCAAACAAAAATGTTTGTCTACATTGAAAGCACACGTTGCATGTACCCTAAGAACATACCACAGATCTATTTAATCCAGCATTCTGCCCCACTGCTCCTGCCTTGACATTCTTGTTGATTTCTTATGGCAATAATATGTAAGTTGCTTTGGTGAGGAAAAATATAAATAAATAAATTTCCACAGCAACCAACTAGATGCCTCTAGGAAGCCACAAACAACATGTGAGGGCAACAGTCTACATTGCTCTTCGCTCCTGGCCACTGATACTCACTGACTTGTTGCCTCTTATTGCCACATATATGCAGTCGTCTCATGTCTTTACAAGGGTTGCATGCTTTCTCCTAGATGGAAGTGCTGTTGGTGCTGAAATCATTTCATGTTTGAAGCAATCCTACCCCCCCCCCGAGTGTTGGATTCATCAGAGTCCTTCAGATATTCAGATCATATCTGTGCTGCAGATGACCTTTCTTCTGTGTCATGGGTTTGCATTGCTTGCCATATATTTGTTAGCTGCCTGCCTGCTTTTTCCATTGCTCCCATGTTGAATGCAGAGTTCTTCTTTACTTCCATGCCTGTTGGGATGTTTGATATCCCAACAGGCATGGAACAGAATACAGAGTACAGAATAGAGATGTCGTCTATTAGTTCCAGTGGTGTCTTGCACACACAGGGAACTGGGCAGCCCCTGTTGAAGCAACCACT